GGGGGGGGTTAGTGGAGGAGGAGGAGGAGGAGGAGGAGGAGGAGGAGTTGGGGCTGACCAGGTAGTTGAGGGTGGTGCTCTCCTCCTCGCGGCCCATGTGTTGGAAGAAGCGATGGTCGGCCACCAGCAGCAGAGGACAGGTGTTCTTCCTGTGGTCGTGCAGCTGACGCTTCCCTCTGGACCCCGACTCTGACCAACAAAACACTCTGTTATATTAAAGGAAACACTGTCAGGACTAGTTATTAGTTACGAGTTATTTACAGTCACAGTCCTTCAGATCATGTGAGCCAGTTAGTTGTTGGTTCCATCAAAAGTCAGAACTTATTGATCTTTCAAGTCAGTCACAAACCATCTAAGTTGAAATGATATTTAAAAAATCAGGGAGCTCTTTGTTTCACAATAAAAGCTCTTTGTTTCACATTAAAAGCTCTTTTTTCACATTAAAAGCTCTTTTTCACATTAAAAGCTCTATTTTCAAATTAAAAGCATCCAATAGGTGAATCACAGAGTTGCTTTGTTTTTGTAAAGCAGCTACAGGAAATGTTCTTCCGTCCGTGTTAAAAGTTGACTGACCTTCTTCTTCGTTGGTTTTGACGTCGTCGAGGAGGAGGCGGCCGGGGTCGGAGGTCACGTAGCCACAGACTGAAGGCTGCTGCAGGCGGCTGAGGTTCCTGATGTCCTCTGAGCGGTAGACCAGCAGACGACCATCAGGGGGCGCCGACGTGAACCTCCAGAGAGGCTGAACACACAATCACAGCAGCAGCGAGTTCAGAAGCTGCAAACAGCAAATGTTTTTTATCGTTCCTTAGAAATGACACAAACTATTAATTTCTGGTGAATTGTTAGCATTTAGCTGAAAGTCCAGACGACACCGCTTATCAACCAGGAGCTGTCAAAGCCGTCATTATTGACAGATTTTCATCTTTCCGAGGGTCCTTGAACACATCATGTGTGACGAACGCTTCCATCGGAAAAAGCAACGAAAACGAAACTTAAAATTATATTTCACAAAAACATTTTATTCTTCATGTTCTCATTTAAAACCTCTGCTCTAATAAAGCATTCACTTTCACCAGGATGTGTAAAAACTAGAGCTGGACAACGATTACAATGTTTAATCGTGATTAATCGCATTGTTATGGCAAAGTTCAACAATGAATTCAAAAGTAGTGTATTGTGCAGTTTTATTTTAAAGTGCTGCTCTATGAACAAAAGGTCAATAAGATTGAGTGTAAACACTTCAAACACATCAGGTTGTTGTCAGCAGCAGTGTTAGACGTTGGTGATAAGAAGCTGGGATGTAAAACATTGATCCAACAACAGAGCGTGACCTCGTTCATCTCACCTCCACGTTGTACTCGGCCTCGTCGGTGAGGATGTGAGCGGAGAACTCGTGGTCGTCTATGTGAGCCTGAACTCGAGAGTTTTCCTCCCCTGAAACAGAAGATGAATGAATGAATGAATGAATGAATGAATGAATGACAGAAGATTGTTTCTGCTTCAGGCTCGTCTCACCGATCACGTGTCCCGTGAAGTAATTGTGTCTGTTGACCGAGCAGCTCCGCTCTCGTCCGTCCTCGTCCACGACCACGGCTCTGAAGTCCTCAGTGAACAGCTGGTCGTTGGTCCTCAGGTAGAGTCTGAACTGCCTGCACACACACACACACAC